ATTATCAATTCAAGACCTTTTTCCATTAAACTCAATTTGTGATTTGTTGCTGTGGTTCAAAATTGAACTTCTAAGTACTTTTTATATGAAAAAATGGCAAATATGGAAGGTTTTCTGGAACTGCTCTTTCCCATACTTACAGTACCGCTTTTAAGTCGCCACTTTGTTTTAGCTTCTCCTTGTTAGTACTAAGTTCGTTTATCCAAACAAAACTACAACTTTCAAGAAATATACACATAGGAAACTTAAGAAATTGTTTTTATTTAGTTCATGACATGCAATGATCAAAAGTGGAATGAATCTTTCCTCTAAATAATACTTCTAAAATATTTTTTCTAAATTACAATGCAAGAAATTCTAGAGAATGGGGCAACAATAAGACTTTTAAAGCAATCGAGGGAAGAGGAGGATGGTAAGCTGCAACCGTCCCAAGTAGGCTTCGATTTTGATGGAGAAAGGGTAAGGCTTTCACGCCAATCTAATTGGCAGTATTTACTTTGTTGTTACTACCATTTTTTGTTAGTTTTCTATTTGGTCCATTGGAAGGGAGCGAGTTGCATCGTCTTCAAGTGTTAATCATGATGGCCACCTTATTTTATACTTTTCGCATCATGATTGCCTCATTAGGAAGTATGGAATAATGCATCTTGTGAGTTTGAAGGTCTTTCACTTTACCAATCAAATGAAAAATCCTGAAAATCTTCTATCTTTAGGGTTTAAATAATGGCATAGTTTTCCAAGTAGATAAAGATAAGCCAGTCGATGATGTGTCAAGAGGAAAAGGAATTGCCTACACATATCCTCCGGCAGGATCTCGTCCAACATTACCCACATTAAATACTGTAAGTGACAAAAAAAGTGTCCTCTTATGCTTGCTCACATGGTGAAGAATAACTCTTAGGAAGAACCTACACCAAATGTGTCCGCCGTTGCGCCCTTAACAACGACGGAACCTAGAGATATTGGAGATATCATTGCACCGGGTAAACAGCTCGATTTTTGCTCTTGAATTATG